TGAAGGGGTTAGGGTTACAGCCGGTGTAACAATGAAATGTAAGGTGGTGTACGTCGGGGAAGCTATAAACTGGCTAGCATAAGATCGGCAGGCGGAGGCGTGTATCACGAGTAAGGTCAATAAAGTCAGAGATAACCTGCAGGGCCTATCGTAGGAGAGCAAGTCTATCAATACGTTTGTTGCGATACTTGATGATTGTATAGATATTTTGTTGAATATCTGGCTGACGTCTAGTACATCTGAGTTGATCTTTGGGCTAGAAAAGTGTATAGATTCTTCGTGCATAGTAATAGTATAAAAGAAAGGGGAAGATGTGAGATGGTAGATTTGTGGAGTGATGAGTGAAAGGGGTCTGTGAAGTGGCTGTTAAACATCAATTAAATGTAAAAAGGGGTTCTCTTTTCTACTAGATACTAATTCTACTCTATATACAATTTCGGTCTACAAGTCCCAGAAGGAGACGGACCATCCGGAACTTTCCGTTCCTGCATGCCTGAGCGCACGTGGTCTTCTTTGATTCGGAACCTTCCGAACTCTTCCACTATGTTCCGACTACCTAGATGATCTTATCGTTGATCATCAGTCTGCTGATCCGTGAGTCTTATTCTAGTTCCGATCAATGCGCCAAATATTTGCTGGGCTCTTTGTGTGGTACTGCAACAGTGCATCCAATTGGTGACACAAGATATATTCAAGTATACACTGGGAGTAACGAGTGAGCGTAGTGAGTGGGAGGTTTTGGTATGCACAGGCGGAGTGTATATTGTAGAGCAGTGAGTGTATGGGTAAATATTAGCAAACAGAGCGAATGAGGCAAATGGTAGCGATTTTGTTTAGGAGATATAGCGGAGGTATCGAGCAGAAATATCAAGCAATGGGCAAATATCAAATCAAGTAGAAATAGCTTTGCAGTGAAAGAGACTGAGCGTAAACTTCTCCTCCTGTTGGCACATCTGCGGGCACCTTCCACAACTCGTTCAGGTTGGTCTTGGCGCTACACCAAGAGAGTGAATGTACGAGGCGCGAGATGGACTGGTGGATGTAGGCCTTCTTCAGTGTGGTACGTGGGCGCAGACTGGAAGTGGTATAGAGCCTGGAAGTGGTATGGAGCCTATTCTATATTGGTAAATGATATGAAGGTGGTTGAGGTGGCAGTATGGCTTACCAGCCAAGGCTTAGTATGAAAACCCTTAACTAGGCATGGTACCATGCCTTCACCAACTGGAACGTGCAGATTGTGCACTGCCATGGTGATGCGCATACTGAATCCTGGCTCAAATGACGTGAGGGCCGGAGTGCGGTTAAATCCAGACAGAATGGCTGCGGTGATGTGGTCGTTGCGCAGGAGGACAATATTGTTGTCGCCGTTAACGAAGTGGTGAACGTGCTGGATCGCGTCAATTGTGTGCTGAAGGAGATGGAACGAATACTTGAGGTAAGACCACTGGCGGCCAGATTACTCCAGCTTACAATGGATGAGAAGAGCAAGAAGGAAGGTGTTGATGAGATTCAGTGCCTTATAGTAGTCCGCAGGCGTCTGCCAGCCTGTGATCTTGATCTGGAACAGAGTGTCTGTGGGCCCACGTGCGATGAAGTGATTAACGTTGGCATAACAATCCACTCCGCGGCGGATACAATGGGTGACAGTAACACCGGGGCCAATGTGCGTGTTGCCAATGTTGGTGAGCTGCTAGAGGGCACCCTGGCAATCACCAAGGTTGTTGCAGTTGGTAGACAAGAAGTGCTAGAGGATAGGCGGATAGTCCGAGATGATCTTGACGGTTGCAAGCCCTGGCAGATATGGAAGGATCTGAGGGAGTGCCGGTGTTTCGACATGGGCTGGCTTGGGCGGGAGAAAGTGGAAGACGAGCGGAGAGAGTGGCTCAGTAGGGCTGATTGACACAGGAAGTGAGTGAACTCCTATAGTCTCAGTCACGAAGGGGCTAAGATTGATTGGAGCTGACGGAATCGGGTTAGGCGCTGAGTCTGACGAATTGTACGAGATGACAGATGGTGAAGGTGACTGCGGTGGCAACAGCGAGGGAGACGCATCTGGCGACGGCGACACAGCAGGCGAGGAAGATACTAGAGCTGATGCGTGGTCAAGGACAAAGTCGTCTTTGATCGAGGAGAGACTCATAGTGGCTGAGGAAAGGACTGTAACAAGCGGTTGACCTATATTATGCAGTGGCAACTCTTCTCAGCACCCGTTGGTGAGAGAGGCTGATGGGCATGTCATAACCATGATCCTCAGATTAATGTGTGCACTCAGCAGACTATTGGAGTGCAAGCAATTGCTAAAGTTCTATGAATGTCTGTGAGATCATGTGAGCATCCTGTACAGCAGACGAGGTGTATTGACTTGTTTTCTTGAGTTCTGGTGACCTGGCGCAACAAGGTATGAGGCCTACAGGGTCATAAGTCTGTTTTGGGCTTGTAGTAGCTTTGGTAGGGGTATACAGCTTAGGGCCATTTCGGCAGCGTGAGTTGAGTTGAGTGTAGATGAGTTCTCCCAGCCAAAACGGCCGCCTATCAACTATTGCCGGCACCTTACAAGAGGGTATAGGCGTCGTTTTGGCTGGGGAACTCAACTCAACGCAACACGATGCATGCTGCCAAAACGGCCCTTATAGTGTGGTGAGTCTACCGAGATTCTATAGGAAAATTGGACAGAGTATACAGTGTACAGTATGCTGGGTATTGGCTGGGCCTGTACAAGAGTCCATAGGAGTATGCTGCCGACAGGATTCTCGGTATACTTTAGGTCTGTAGAGCTATTGGTACAGGTATGTGTCTAGCATAGTGTATGCACAGTGATACATGTTGAATTCTAGCTCTCTGTTTGAATTTCATTCGTTTCGTGTTCGTGATTCGCTGTCTCCTGCTACTCGGACGGACTCGTACTGTACACCATCGTACTCGCCGTCCTCCAAA